TAGCGCCTTCAAAAGTGGTTGTAAGTAATTTTTAAGGTCAGAAATGAAAAGTACGCGGAAAATTACATAGAAAAACATGTAATGGGTGACAACTAAACGATGATTAGGCAAGGAACAGCCGCGGAAGAGCGCGCCGCCAGCCGTTCAACCCCTATTTTCACCCCCTAGCGCCTTGAAAAGTGGTTGTAAGTAATTTTTAAGGTCAGAAATGGAAAGTACGCAAAAAATTGCATGAGAAAACATGTATTGGGTGACATCAAAATGAAGATTTGGCGAGGAACAGCCGCGGAAAGAGCGCACGCCAGCCGCTCAACTCCCCCACTTCACCCCCCTGTATCTCCGAAACCGCTTTTTAACTCAAGCTGAAATTTTTACCTGAGACTTGGGGCATCATATGCAACAATTTGGCGCAAGTCCCGTTTGCAAAATCGAGGGCCTAAAAAGGGGCGAATTTCGACCCATTTTTAACAAGGCTCTTTTCCCGGAACTTTTAAAATTTCCGAAAGTTTCCGGATCTTCTGCATTTTTCGGAACTTCCTCGGAACTTTTGACGGTCACGGTATGGGAGAAATGGAAACAAAAAAGTTCCCAATTCCGGAACTTTTAACGGCCATAGAATGGGAGCACTGTATAAGAACACCAAGCGCGCTCGTTTCGGAGGATAAGTATTCAGGCTGGATTGCTGGGATAATGCTCTGTGAGGGAATAATTAGAGGTGTAATTAGAGCAACTGCTCGGAGGTATCGTAAAGTATGAAATGTCCATTCTGAGTGCAATGATCTCCAGAGCTTGCACCCGACACGAGGCACAAGACCATGAGGCAAGCCATCGACGGCGGGAGACAACTGCTCGGGAGATCAGAAGTAGGCCATTAAGGGTTGCCACTTCCCGGTGAAAATGGACCAGTTTTGTGCTCACCCTTCAGGGTTACTCGATTTGGCCAACAAACCAAAGAAACAAGCAGATATACTGCCGTGCTAAGGAGAAACGCCGTATGAACATGCAAAAGTTGCCAAATTTCCTTCGATAAGATGTTCATTTTTAAGGAAAGGTATGAATATTTTTCCTTGGAATTTTCAGGAACTTTAGTTGAAATTGCGAACAAAATTTTCTGAAAAATTGAAAGGAAAATATTCATAAGTTTACCAGGAAATTCGTGTTTTATCAAAGGAAATTTGGCAACGCCTGGAGGTTCATACGGCGTTTTTCCTTAGCACGGCAGTATAAGCAGGTATATATTTTAGAGACCCCGCGCTAATACAGGGTAATCCAGGGTTAAAAGCGGCCAGACTGCAGGAGCGTGTTCTCCATGGGTCAAAATAAAACTCTTTTGTTGTATATTTTTTTTCCAAATGTGTCCCCAGTCGGAGGTACCCCCCCCCCAAAAAAAAAAAAATCGGAAAATAAATCGTTTTTCTGAATTTTGGCAATGGTTGTGAACCAAATCTAACGAAAATTTGTATTTTCCTGCATTTTTATGCCCTGAATTCATAAATGATATAGAAAAGAATCGAAATCTCAATTTTAAGAGGGGGTGTTTCGGCTCCTGCAGTCTGGCCGTGTAACCCTGGATCACCCTGTGTAAGAGGCAATTTACTTGGGCGAGGTTAAAAGTTGAGCTCAGAGAGCAACTCTTCTTGTGGCCGAATTATGATTGATGAGCAACTTAATTGATAGTTAACCATAAAACTCGTCAGATCAACGGCCAAAGTGCAACCACGTATCTCCATTGCGGTGTTCCACAATTTCCGATCTTATTTTATTTTTCGGAAGAGGAACAATCCAGCTTTATATGGCTTGAAATTTATACAAAATATTCTGCTAGTGGAGAAGAAAAATCAAGGAAGTTTTCAAAAAATCACTCTCTGAAAACCACCTTTATACATATTTTCATATCGAAATTTCTCGTGGAATCAAAGATGATTTGGTAAAGTCAACATAGCAACCTCCTTGCAAAATAGTTACCTACAATGCGGTTTCCTGTTACAAAGCTTATCTAAAACTGCACACGGAATACGGCAAAGGAAGGAGAATATCGAGTACCGAATGCGTTTTCACTTTCTAACCAGGTTTTCTTTGATATATGTGTTATAAGTCCAGTGTGAAAAACCCATTAAATTGTGTAAAGATAGAGCGAGAAGGGGGGTGGGGGGTGGGGGGGGGAGAAAACCAGTTTAGAAAACCGAGGCTATCTCTACAATCAATAATTCAATCGCCTAAAAAACTCATGAATATGTGACCTACGTCTGACGTCATGATCGTGAGATCACTCCTCGCCTGGCGTATACCTACTCGACTATAACGGTAAAAAAAAACAGGATCCAAGAACACACACCCACATACGGTGAAAAATTTCGAAGATGTTGCATAATCGAGTGCCGATCAAATGCCGATCGAGAGTTTTCGTTGACTAAAATGCCGCGAGTGAAGAACATCCGTGACGTAATCCGGTTGAATACGTGCTCTGCGTGTTTCATAATATTATGAGGAAGAATCTCTTAGCAAAAAAAGGAAGGGAAAAAATCCGCCACAACTCGAGACACTGCCTTGAATGAGAGCAGATGGAAAGAGCACCGAATGGCTTGAACTCTACCGAAGCAACGACTTGATCTTAATCTCGTTTTTTGACACTAAAGTGAGTATTACACACGGCTTGACGTAACTACAGCGCAATTACCATTGCGCTTGAACAATTTGAAAATAAACAATTGTGGAGTTCTCACGTAATAGAATTTCTGTTTACTGATCGTCTTATTGAAGAATTTAATGGTGACAATATGACCGCGGTTTTCGCGCCTGAATGGAACGATAAATTCAAGTCCCCGATCTTGCGACGTATTGAATATCGGTAAATATGATCAGTAATATATCTATCAACTGGATCAATTTATCGTTGTTTAATAGACTCATTTAGGGATTTTTTTTTTTGGGGGGGGGGGGGAGCCTTAGCTCCACTCCGCCAGGGGTGCAGAAAGTTCTTTGACCTACACAGTTTTGAGTTACCAAGGATAAGCATTATTGTGCGTTCGTAGTAATTATTATAAAAATTTAGTACGTTCGCAAATATCTTCTAAAAAATTCAAATACGGTTGCACTACTTCTTTAAAAATCCAACGCTTTTGCAGTAAATTTATCAAAAATTTAACGCTCTTACAGAAATTTTATACAAAATTTAGCACTTCATTAGCAACTTTCTCCAAAATGCAACGCATATTGTATTGTATTAATCAGTGCACTCGCAATAATTCATACAAAATATCAACATCCTAGTCATAAGTTTTCATATGGACGTTCATTTTAAGGACATATTTCATCTTCTCGGAAGTCAAAATATTTGTAACCCGTGCTTTCCCCCTCCAACGTTTCTACTCTTGCGTTAAAGTCTCTGAGTCAGCGAAAATAGAAGAGACCATTGCTCTCCTTCATTTTGTGGGTATGCAATTTTATTTCCTTGGAAGTCGAAATAGTTGTATCACGCGTTTCGGCTCATCTAACTTTTCTACCCTTGCGTTAAAGTCTCTGAGCCAGCGGAAAAGAAATCATTGCTCTCCTTCATTTTGTGGGTATGCAATTTTACTTAATTGGAAGTCGACATAGCTGTATCACGCGTTTCGGCTAATCTGACTTTTCTACTCTAACGTTAAAGCCTCCTCGCCCCCCCCCCCGGTTTGCACTCAGAAAACGTCACTACTGTTGATACCTCAGAAGATTCAACTTTAATTGTCAATAAGAGATTCAAATCCACCGAACCCACACAGAACGAAAAACTCCGGTTGTTAGGACTGAACCTCAGTTCACATAGAACACTAATCTGCTGTGCCAAGGAAGAATGGCGTATGGGCTATCAGGCGTTGTCAAATTTCCCTCGAAAAACAATGATTTTTCAGGAAAATGTGTGAATGTTTCTCTTCCGATTTTTCGGAGGATTCCGTTCGAAATTTGAGTTTAAAAGTCTGTAAATTTCAAGAAACATATTCATAATTTTCTTAAAAAATAGATATTTTCTGAGAGTAAATAAGGCAACATTCAAATGCTCCTACGGCGTTTTTCCCTAGCACGGCAGTCATGTTTTCGGTCCGCGTAAACGAAGCTTTCCAAGCCTTCAATGGACCACTAGACAAGGTACGAATTTCAGTATTCTGATACATGTTTTGTAACTAAAAGTTCACGTAGAATACGATGCGCACAACAAAAATCACCGAAATTAACTCCTTACGAAGATATTTAATGATTCCTGATGCGTGAATTCAAACCACCCGCTTATGAAAACTCAATGGTCTGCGTGATTCACATCGCGCGCTAAACGTTATCAGGACAGTCTCTGCGATGTAAAAATCTGGCAACCTCAATCTTGACGCTTTGGCTCAGCTATAGCAAATTACTAATAGTTTGAACAACACATGGTGGAGAGTGAACATTGCTCGATTGAGAAGCTTGCTGAAACCGTTGCAGTGCGCGATTGGACTCACGAAGAGCTTTGAGTTTCTCGTGAGCTGGCAGTTCAAATTCCTCGTAACCAGTGCGAAATAAAAACGTTAATATCGTAGTTAGGAGTTGGGTTCAGTAATTTTCGTGTTTAACGTAAAATTCTGGTTAGGAAACATGTATCAGATTGCTTAAATTCGTGCCTTGTCTAGTGGTCCATTCAGACAACCGAATTTTTCGAAAAAGTATACAAACCTTAGTAAGGCCGATCACCAGCCCTGAATCTCGGATCCTAACATTGAAAACTTCAGTTGCCGCGATTGAATAAGAACGTTAATGTTCCGTACAAACCGAGGTTTTTTTTCTTCGTGTAGGATGCGCCGAGCGTCGGACCAATAGCGTGCCACCTTGATCCTCGCGTACGCTCACCAGGTTCATTCATACCTATGGAGCGAGGTTGCCACTCCTCAAGAAAAATACTACATTTCCCGCAACTTTGACGCAGAAAAACCGGACGATCCCGCAACAGTGGCGCCTACCCGCGAGGACCAAAACCGCGGCTCGCAGCCGGTTATTCCGTTCCGTCGCGACGACCGGTTCGTTTGGGATTCGCGATTGCAGTCGCGTCTGGAGCTCGCAACTCGCAGCTTGTGCTCGCGTCTCTCTCGAAACCACTCGCGCTCGCCCCGAGCCACTTCGGTGTTTTTCGGACGTTCGTAGCCCGGGAATAACATCTTCGGGTTCTCGTGATTTGTTTGTTTGTTAGTGTGGTCTCCTTGCAATCGAATCGGTAAGTACGAAGTGCCAGTGTTCCATTAGACCATTTATAACAGAAAAGAACCAGGTCGCACCATAGAAGCGAGAAATCGAAGTTCGGCACCGAAAAAAAGTGAAGATAATTTCACACTCTGGATGTGTAAAAAAGTGCGAAAATTAATAAAATGCTAAATTACCCGCTACAGTAGTTACATTAGCGATGCCAGGATGTAAAACTAACTGCTGTGGCGGGTAAATTAGCGTTTTATTAATTCTCGCACTTTTTTCTCACATCCAGAATGTTAAACCAACTTCAACTTTTTTCTGTGAAGGTTTCATTCCTCCATGAAGTTGAATGTTATACAGACATGAAGTTCGACGCATTTTCTTATTTTCACATTCGAAATATTTTGACCAGATCTTTAATTTTTCCTGGGAGAAATAATGTTTGGCTAGTTAAGATGAGAACTACACCTAACTCCCCCCCTCCCCCATGTGATTTCCTTCTTTCTATTTAATTCAACTCTTTTTTGTTATCACTTTTGAATTGAGTTATTATCAGTGGAAACGCTTGTATGAGCTTTACAGCCTTGCTAAGATTGTGACATTTGACGCATCACAAGAGGTTGATCAATGTGATAATATAACACTTCGTAGAGTTTCATCCAGAAAGCTCTTCAAATTTTCATTCGATTTTCTGTATAAAAATAATCAGCTTGTAGGTTTGTTCGGTTTATACTACAGAGACGCACAATTTAAGTAATACTGCAAAGTTCATACGCTGTTTCTGCAAAGAATATTATCATTGTGAGAAACATAGAAAACACACACTCTACTCAAATCAGAAATAGAGAGATAAATTATGGAACGTTGCAAAAACATTCGCACGGATGGTGAGAGGCTAAGAAAATACAAAGTGCCTTCAATTTTTCTGTATACAATACGTACAACCGTAGAGTGCGAATAGTCGTATCCAGGCTTGACCATCTCTTTTCCCTTTCGGAGTCGTTTACGTTGGACGATTTCTTTTTCTTGCACAGGACACGTGACAGATAAAAACAAGTTAAATGACTCTAAATAATTTCGGCAGTGTTTGGTGGATGATAATTTGGTGTGAGTTGATAAGCTATACGATTTGAAATGTATCTTTCTATATTTATCATGTGTTTTTGAAATTCCATCAAATATTTCAAGTGATATTTCACGATTTTATTTTCCATTGAAGTTTACCACCCTGCGCGCTGATTATTGAAATTGATGGACAAAGCTATAGACAAAGAGGACAAAGAAAAAACGAAGGGATCCAATTGGTTAAAACTGGCAGTTGTTATAGTTGTGAGGTAGAGAATGATGGACTAACTATAAAGGTTTCTCGTGCATTGCCGTTAGTTAGTATATTATTTATCTACATTGTCCATGTAAACTCCAATAGTATCACTCCATTTTCCTTTTGTCCTCTCCGTCCATCGCTTTGTCTATCAATTTCAATAATCAGCACACTACTCGAGGATGCTCTTGCTCAAAGTGTACTCAATAATGGACCGCTAGACAAGGTACGAAGTCTGATACCTCTTTCTTGACCAAAATTTCACGTAGAACACGATTCTTGCCACAAAAAGTGCTGAAATCAACTCCTATAAACTAAGATTTTAATGTTATTATCTTACATCGGCCATAGGAAATTTGAATTGCCCGGCTAGAAGAAAGGCACTACTCCACGTGAGTCTAACTGCGTGCTGCAACAGTTTCAGCAGGCTTCTCGATCGAGCCCTGTTCATTTCCTATCCTGTGTTGTTCAAAATATAGACAACTATCTGTAGCTGAGCCAAAGCGTCAAGATCGAGGTTGCCAGATTTTCATATCGCAGAGACTGTCATAGTAATGTTTGGTGCACGACTTGCCTCACGCAGACCATTCACCGAAAAAAAGTGAAGTTGATTTAACATTGTGGATGTAAAAAAGTGTGCGAGAACTTATAAAATGCTGAATTACCCGCCACAGCAGTTAGTTTTACATCTTTGCATTGCTAAAGTAACTGCTGCAGCGGGTAATTCAGCATTTTCTAAGCCCTCGCACACTTTTTTACACCCTGAATGTTAAATCAACTTCACTTTTTTCTCGGTGTTGTGTTTTCATGAGCGAAAGGTTTGAATTCACGCGTCAAGTAACACTAAATACCTTGGTTTCAAGTTAATTTCAATAATTTTCATCATGTTCTACGTGAAATTTTGGCTTAGAAACATGTGACAGAATGCTTAACTTCGTACCTTTTCCAGTAGCCCATTGTGCGGCGTCTGGATCCGTGCAACGGCTCTCGGTAGCCAGCCTTTATTTTGCAGTGCCGTTTTGGCTGCCGAGGCTGAGCGTCGGTTTTATGGAAAGTGCGCGAGCAGCTGATGAACCTGTCTCGGATGCCGCGCCGGGCGCCGGGGGATGGCAATTCTGATTGAGTCAGAGAGACGCGCGCGCCGTAATTCGATTCTGAACGTGATGAAACCGACGTCCGCCGTCGCCGGATCCTCGGCGAGCGTGAAAAAAATCACGTGCTCCGTCTTTGGCGCGCGGCGAGAGGAAGGAAAAAGGCGGGAAAAGCTCGATCGAGCCCCGGGAAAATTGATCTGTTGCACGCACGGTAGATTTGAAGGTCTCAGAGGACAAGGCGCATAAGTGCAGTCTTGAAAAATTGAAATATTAATTATTTCAAGTAAAACTTGAAAATTTGGATTCTGAACGTGACGAAAGCGACGTCCGCCGTCGCCGGCTCCTCGTCGAGCGTGAAAAAAATCACGTGCTCCGTCTTCGGCGCGCCTCGAGAAGAAGGAAAAAGGCGGGAAGAGCTCGATCGAGCCACGGGAAAATTGATCTGTTGCACGCACGGTAGATTTGAAGGTCTTAGAGGATAAGGCGCATAAGTGCAGTCTTGAAAAAATTGAAATATTAATTATTTCATCATCAATCATCTGCCCGATGATTTGTGGGAGGATCGATTCCGATGGCGATTTGGAGTCGCAGAGCGCTCTAGTGCGGTGAGGTAGCGGCTTGATATATATATAATAATTATTTCAAGTAAAACTTGAAAATTTGAAGATTAAGTCGTTTGAAATAGGGAGGGGTTTGATGCAAAATTTTTGAGAATATGGTGTTGAGATCAGTAAGAGGAGGGAGAATCTTGGATCTTGGTTTTTAGTAGGTAGGACGAGATATTAAAACATGTCTGGCTGAGAGGAGAACAGTGTGGAGTAAGTAAGGGGCTTGGAGGACAAGGCGCATTAGTGCAGTCTTGAAAAAATTGAAATATTAATTATTTCAATTAAAACTGGTCTTACTGCACATTCCGTGAAAAATTCTAATTTTTGAGCATCAAAAAGTCAGTTTGAACTTTCTCTCCGCCATAAGGACCCATGTAATTTCAAAAATTCAAACACGTATTTCTCAAAAACAGCAAAAACTGCACTAATGCGCCTTGTCCTACAAGCCCCTCATTTATAGGAATAAAAATTGGGTGTATATCGGATAAAACCTCACGGAAATCACGGTGGGCCGATTGAAAAAGTCGGAAATCCGCTCGTTAACGGCGATTTTAAATAAATAATGTATAAAAAAATATACTGTGAAAAATATAATGTGAAAATAAATAATGTAAGCGACTGAGTTTGCTTTTCCGCAGTAAACATTCAGGAAACGAAAGAGCAATGGAGAAGCCTAGATACGACTCTTCGTGTTCGATGGTTGTCCGTTTCGTATGCAGAAAATGCCCCTTTCTCGAACGCTAACATGCTGCTGTAATGAAAGTCTTTCAAGTGAAAGAGACAAAAAACGAAAATACACAACCTGCTTGGATCGGAAGCGGATGGATACATTATGAAACGTTACAAAATCATTTGTGAGGGCGCGCCGAGAGGCTAAGAAAATGCAGAGCGCCTTCAATTTTTCTGCATACAATACGGACAACCGTAAAGTATGAATAGTCGTATCCAGACTTTTGAATCGCTCTTTTCTTTTGGGAACGATTACCTTGGAAAGGCAAACTGTGGCTCGTAGACGAGTTGTAGGGGTGTCCATCTGTGCATCAAAGGAACCAGTATCATGGTGAAGATTTCTGAATTTAGAGAAAAGATTGTAAAAGAATTGAAAGTATGAAAAAACTTCAGACATGACTTAGAAAGAGATATTAAAGTTTGCATCGAAACTTTTCATGAAACATTTTTTTTTCACTCTGAATTTTACTTAGCATCGCCTTCTAATGGAGGGGTTTAGCTAGAATAAGCCTGACTGAATTCCCCATTTTAAATTTCCTCTCGCGTTTTTAACAGTAACAGAACAGCACATCACCTTAAAATTCTGTGAATTTCTATCAGATTATAAAGCATTCCCTCTCCAATTTCAAAAACAGAATGTTACTCTGTTCCCTTTTAAGAAATTAAACACGAGGAGCCATTAGGTAATGTCTGATGTAATTACAAAGTTTTAATCAATGCCATTCTATTTTTGTACTGTAAAGAAATTGAGAAAATCCGTCGTTTCATTTCGAAACAATATTTTTACCCACATTTCAAACTACATACCCTATTGAGCTTAATCAATTATTTTCTTGGATTTCCAATTTCACACATATACACTTTCATACATGGGCTTTTCATTTGCTCTCAAGAAGTAATGCCGAAACACTAAAACGCCTCTTAAATGTTTATTAACGATGTATTTTCCCTCTTTATGTCTCTTATTTCAATCTCATTTTTTCTGACCGTAAATAGTAATACGGTTTTATGTGCAGATAAGACGGGTTATCAAACTTGCCCGTGTTCTATTTATTTATTTTTTTCATTCACTATCGCTTCAATTACAAACAATGTTGCAGTTAGCAAGGTTTTATCGCCTAATTTAAATGCAAAAAGTAGTGAAAATAACGAAAATTCTTTTTTTAAATCGACAACACTGGTGATTAGAATAACCAATTAATTTAATAGGTGCTCATATCAATGGCGCTACAGTGCAAAATAAATCTAATCCACATTTTGGCGATTTCGATTGACCCGGAGGTTAACTCATAAGTCTGAAGATATGGAAGGTTGCAAAACGATGCCAAATCTACAGCTAGTCGGGTCGATTTCCATAGGTTTTTTCACGTAATTCTGGTTTACGTCCACAATATTGTAACAGTGGTTGTGATCCTGTCGACAAGGAAAATCTTGAAAAAATCTTCTTCTTATTTTGCTCCATTTAAATTAAACTACGTCAACCGACCCTATCTGACTAACTGCACTTTCAGCCGCTAAGGTTGCATCGGCGTGGCGCAGCCTGCGTTCGCGCACTTATTAATGTGCGTCACACTTTCGAGTCGTAAAAAAATGAGCACGCACAAATGTTCGTAAACGTGTTTGGAAAATTTTACTAGATACAGTCAAAGACGCCGGCACAGCGAGGCTTCCAGGAAGTATTTTGAGTGAGGCCCTTGATTCCGCCCCGCTTTGAATTTTAAAACTGATTTGATTTTAACTCATTATGACGCTCATGAAATGCAAATTTCATTAATCATCTATCTACAACAAGAAGCAGTTAGGCGTACACATTATTTAGTCAGAAAAACGAGTTATCTTTTCATACATCGTGCGTTTAATACTGACGTGCTAAGAAGAACGCCGTATGAGCATTCCGCCGTTGCCATATTTCCTTCAATAAGAGCCGACTTTACTTGAAAAATTCTGAATATTTTTCCTCCAATTTTCTGGCAATTTTGTTCGCAATTTAAGCTAATATATCTGATAATTGAAAGAACAAATATGCATTACTTTCTTCAAAAATGCATGTTTCATACTGGGGAGTTCGGCAACTCTCGAATGTACATACGACGTTTTTCTTTAGCACGGTAGAATATTAGTTTGCGCTTTTTAGAAGAAATTCTTGCAAAGTTTCATTTATTCTCCATCTCCATGAGGAATCCTAAATTTTGCTTTCGAACACGGCTTTACCTTTACGAAGAGTTGCGGGGGAAAGGTTAGGAGGGGTTTGAAGATTCCAGAGACAAAAATGGGCCGAAAATATATGAAAAGACAGAGAAGAAACGTAATTGAGGACGAGATCGTGGCCTGAACTAACAAGAGAGACCAAGCCACATTTTCGGGAAAAAGTGACTCAGGAGCACACATGTGAAAATGAACGATAGAATGTCGACTGTTCAGTTACATATACAATCTGCGTTAAGCAGAAAAGAACCAAGCTAAATCAGCTATTGCTAAATTGCATTGGGCATTTTAATTTTTCACATGAAAACGGTTGTATGGGCGGGTTTTTCTTCAAATTTCAGTGAATTTTCTACGTAGTATGAAACAAATTCCTTTGAAATCCGCACAAACGTTATGTAAAAAATTAAATTGTCCAGTTAAATTTGGCAACAACTTGGTACCCCTCTGCAAAATACGGCCGCAACATATTCTGCCGTGCTAAGGAAGAACGCCGTATGAACATACTAGAGTTGCCAAATTTCCTTCGATAAATTGTTTATTTTAGAGGAAAATTATGAATATTTTTCCTTGAAATTTTCAGAAGTTTTAGATCAAACAACAAACAAAATTATCTGAGAAAGTAGTAGATAAATATTCAACAATTCACTAATTTGTCAGGGGAAATTTGGCAACGCCTGAAGGCTCATACGGCGTTTTTCCTTAGCACGGCAGTATTCCAGTTACCGAGAAAACATGCAGATTCTAGTTCGTCACCTCCGTAGGTGACATTACTTTTTCAAGTTATGTGAAGTGCATTCACCTTGACTTTGAACTTATAAGGGGAACGTAACACCGTTAAGGTTGAACAAATTCACGTAACCATTCTGCGTTTATGAGCGCGGGAGGACGGCTTGAACGCCCTTTTCTTTGATCTGTTTGCCCTTTTCCTGGTTTTTTATCGATCCAGTTACGATTCTGAGCAAAAAATTTGACAGACACAAAAGCCACACTCAAACATCATTGCTATTGAACTGAGCCATACTCCCAAAAGTCTGCATTATGAAACGCGCGTCAACGCTCCGGATCTCATCAAACCAGTGGCGTGGCGTGAATTGCGATATATCGATTGTTATGCCATTTAAACCTATGGTAAAGAGTCGATTATTAAGGTGTTCGCTGCGAACACCCTGTTTATCGATTTTTTTCATAGGCTTAAATGGCATATCAATCGATATATCGCAAAGCACGCCACGCTACTGAATCAAACGTCGGGAGACGGAACGTTAATAAGTAGGTGATTTATACTGGATGAGAAAAAAAAATAGAAAAAAAAATACCTGTCTGTTCTAATGGACCTGACTTAATTAATCGACAGATTGAACAGATGTAACAAAGTTAGCTTTGATGAATTGTATACCCTAATATTGCCGCGAGGTATACAAAATCGTACGCCCGTTGGTCTATTTTTTCCTTAATTTGAACAATTTTTCTTTTTTAACTCGGCTATGGTAACGATAGGACCAATTAGTCTCGATTTGAGTCCAAAATTACGCTACAGATTGGCCGTCGTTTTCACTGAACAGCATATTTCTATAAATTAGGCGTGTGTTTCTTTGCCAGAACAGAGGGAAATAAGTAAAGCTACTGCAAGCAACTATACGTGCTCTCAAGCCACTCACATTGCCATCACGGCAATTGAAGGCGAACTCGGACGTCGAATCAACTCCTTTTGCAAAAAGATCGGCCCACCCCGCAATTGCTGAAGGAGACCAGAGCTTTAATTTTTACACCTCATCCTTTTATTTGTTTTTTCTCCTTTTCTTCTATTTTACCTATCTTTCTCCCACCGGACCGGCGCTGGCCTTTCAACTGGGTACTCCCTGTCCTGTTTGGCCAATCAGGGCCTGCTGGCCTGATAACGACACCAAATATAAAATTCTCTTCAATGGGAACAATTTTGGCAAGACCATGCACTGATTCTGTGGATCACTCGCAAACACTGACTTGCTAAGGAAGAAAACCGTATGAGCATTCGAGAATTGCTAAATTTCCCTCGATAAAATATGTATTTTTGATGACATTTGTGCACATTTTTCCTCGACATTTTCAGATACCTATTTCAGATTAAATTGCGTACAAAATTATCTGAAATTTTGGACAGTAACATTCACTTTCCCAGTAATTTCGGTTTTTATTAAAAGGAAGCTTGGTAACGTCTGAAAGCTCATACGGTGGTTTTCCTTAGTACAGCAGAACAGTACTCTTTGAATTGATGGATCACGCGGCAACTAAGAAAGGGCAGCATACAAATTTCAGCTTCCTTGATGCAATTGATGCATACAACATAATTCGCCACCTCAGTACAGCATTATCTGCTCGACTCATGTTTTAAACGCAATAAAGGTCAGTTTTCCAAAATGACGTCACAATCTGCGCGCGCGATGCATCACTTGATAGGACTGCCCGGTCAGCCCGGGTAATTAAATTCCGATTCTGGTTTCTGGGTAAGTTACTTTAAATTTTAAATTTGCATTTCGCGCACTCGATAAGTAAATCAGTCACGTTTTCTTCTCATACTCCCGCACAGACTTTTTTGACAGAAGTGTCGAACCTGGATTGATATCGTATTCATACTTGTGTTTCCTGTTTCTGTTGGCAGCCATGGAAGTCCGGGAGAGGTCGCTGTCGGAAGAGGACCGAAAAGATCTCGAGATTTGGATGAGCAACCACCTACGTCTTCCCTTCCGCCTCACAGGTACTTACTCCATGAATAAATGTATTGATGATAATACAACAACGGTTAAAGAGATTATAAATTTTAGAGATCCCGCACTAACAATATAAGCAACGAAATCTAATGAGGCACAAGTTACGATGGTTCTTCAGCTTCTGCGCAACGCTTTCTGGGTACGACCTATATATCTCAAATTTTGACCTCCAGGTGAATAATTGCGAGAAAATCTAAATTTCAGTCTGTATATAAGTCATTGAGGAATGTTCGTGTCGAAAATTATCCTCCAGAATCTTAAAATAAAGTAAAAAATCCCGTTTTTATTTTGCAACCAATTTCAATGTATCGATATCGATGGTTGGTTGGAAACGCAGTACTTGACTTTAAGATTTTGGAGGTTGATTTTGGCACCAGCACTCCTCAATGATTTATCTACGCACGGACTGAAATTAAGATTTTCTTAAAATAATTCACCTATAATGGTAAAAATTTCAGATATATCGATCGTATCCAAAATGCATTGGGCAGAAGGTGAAGATCCACCTTTAGTAAGAGGGTCAACGCTTCTCGCCTAATGACGCTTCATGAGCAACTTGTTGAGCAAAAAATCCAATAGAATTCGCGTACTGATAACTGATGAAAGTAACTTGCAAAGCGTATGACCGGGGCTCCACGCCCTTAGCTAAGTTATAGCTATATAAAAAAAATAATAAAATAAAAAATGGAGACTGTAATGATGCAGTTGAGTTGCTTTCAGGCTTGAGCCATCAATCAGTAATTGCGACCGATAGATACCTACAAAGAAAATACCGTTCAAACTTGGGCTCTTGATTTCCTATAATTTATGATTGAATTATCCTTGATTTTTCATGCTTGAAAAAAAATTGATTTCCATTGAAATTTTTGCTTCGTGGTGTTCCAGATGAACAACTAGATATTTTCCTTCACTGTTGCTACAATGACCTCGATTTGGTCAAGAAAACGATACCAAAGTATTTCAACATGAGGATCACAACCCCAGAATTTTTCAGAGGAAGAAATTTCGATCTACCCGGACTCAAACACATTCAACACGTCATGTGAGTATCGCACTATCACTCCTGACATCAATTTGTTTTCATTTCACAAAAAATCGCAACACATGCAAAATTAAGGGGATTTTCATGAGCTCTCCATTTTCCCAATTAATTAATTTACTTTCCAATTTTCGCACTTGATAAAAACACAAAAGAAAAAGAAAGATAATGAAAATTAATGTACGTCCTCTGTGATTCGTCTGAGATCGGAGATAAAACAACGCTCTCAGTTTATCATCTGTGAATCGAAACAAGCTGACGCCCCTCTGTGAATGGAGGGACCGGGGTTAAAAAACCAAGTCTTATCCATCAACAAATCTATGTTCTGCAAAAATAACGCCTTTGTCCATTACATGGACCGCGTTTAACAGAAAGGAGCCAAGCCACATCAGCTATTGCAAAATTTAATTGGGCAATTTACTTTTATACATGGAAACGGTTGTGCGGATTTTTGTGCAAATTTCAGTGAATTTTCTCCATGGTATGAAGCAAATTCCTCAAAATTTTCAAAGGAATCCGCGCAAACGTTCTCACGTTAAAAAGTTAATGGCCCAGTTTTTGGCAATAGTTGATGTGGCTTGCTTCCCTTCTGTTAAACGCGGTCCAAATTAGCTCAACATTTATTTCTCGATGCCAGAGCACAGAGGGAGTGTTGTAAATTCTTAAAAACTTAAAATTCTGACCGTGTTCGAAGTAGAGAATCGCCGGGGTATAATGGGACCACATTTTGCAATTAGGAACCACTATTTCTGGCTAATTTTAGAAACAACATACATTCCATTGGTTTCTCTATGCAGAAAGGTGCTTTTATGGAAGAGCCAGAAATAGTGGTTCCTTGGTAAAAATTGGAGATAAGAGCTACATTTCAAAATACCATAGGAATTCTTATAGCCGGCTAAAGAAGGCTACAGAAAATCATATAGCTGGCTGTAGAATGCGGAGAAAATCATACGGCCGGGCTATACGAAGCGATAAAAAATTATGCAGCCGGGCTATAGTTCCTATCGCCGGGCTTTACACTTTATCGCCTGGCTGTTGCTTTTTCACCATCAATTATAAAAGGCTATAAGAAATTGTGTAGAAATTCGTGTGCTTAGGAAATTATTAAGTTTGATACGGAACCACCTTAATATTTACAAAACACACGTTATATTTTCCTTTAATACATATTTTTTTTCATCAATTAAAATGAGAATAATCCATACAGGATGTGCAAACATTTCAAAATCATGAGTTCAATAACGCTGATTCCGCCAGATTAAATATTAGAGCCCAACACAAAGCGGAGCGGCGACGCACTGGCGCCTACAAACCTAACAGGGATACTTCACGCATTGCGCAACGCGTGAAGTATCCCTGTTAGGTTTGTAGGCGCCAATGCGTGCTTCGCGCTGGCTGCTGGCTGCCCGCCCACCACGGCGCTTGAAGCAACTATTTCACACCAGAGGTATTGCACAGTATCATACGAAACTGAAGGCGCTCTAATATATTAGTAATGGCAGGCATCCATCAAAAGTACGGAGCTTTCCTCGCAAAATAAATCAAGATACTACGGCCCAAAAAGAGAGTAGTATTCCAAAAACTCACCAAGTCCTAGCATCCGTAATTAGTAACGTTCAGCATACACTTTATCGCCTGGCTGTTGCTTAATCTCCATCGGCTGTAAAAGGCTATAAGAAATTGTGTAGTCGGCTATAGAAGCTATTGGAAATCTTACAGCCGGCTGTAGGTCTGTGGTATTTTGGAACACAGATTCTACTGCCAATTTTTACCAGGGTTCCTTAGTGCAAATTGTACTCAATCCGATCCATCTTCCTCAGTTCCAACGACAACCGCTCATTGAGAAATTTTTCCTCCGTGGATGATCACATGCAAAGTATAGTTCTTTTTAAAAATATAATTCCTTTTATTAAAAAAAAAAAAATATTAAAAGACTCAGTTTATCTTACTCTATGATAATAAATCGTAACAGCAACGCGTAATGCATAACGTCAGGGACGCGAAGCACTTCAGGGGTTGGACTGCAAAGCGGTCAGGAGGCGCACACCCTGTTATTTTAAAAAAGAAATCTGATTTACCTTTCAACGAAACACACTCTGAAAAAAAAATCTCGGTGTATTTACTAAGAAAAGGGTAAAATTACCAAGAATTCAGGGTTCTATTTGATCCCAGTTTTTTCTTGGTAAAATTACCGTTTATGGAATTGGTAATTTCACCGAGAAATCTCGGTAAAATTATTGACTTTGACTTTTTTTTATTAACGCCAATATTTTTTATCGACTGTGGTAGAATTACCGAGATAAAAGGGCAAAGTTACCGAGAATCAATTACCAATAAAAGTGGTATTCTTACCTGAAAAGAGCAGTAAAAATACCGGTTTATAGGTAAGCTTACCAATCTGTTTTGGTAAAATTACCAATAATCGGTAAAAAAAAAGTGAGATGGTAAAAGTACCAACGGACCTTGGTAAAAACGCCGAGAATTTTTTTTCAGTGCGGGGGTTGGACTGCAAAGCGGTCAGGAGGCGAACACCCTGTTATTTAAAAAAAAAAAAAAAAATCTGATTCACCTTTGAACGAAACACATGATCACACTATCTGCTCATGATAAAAAGATACCTATTGCTAAATTGCGTTTATTTCACTTACGAGTCTCAAGCTGTTGCGTTCGGCTTACGAAATGCAGAGCATTGAACTGTACTCGACTACTTACTCGCATACGAGGGGCTAGTTGCACCTTCTGGAGGATTCCCTGCCAGAGGGCTGGCTGGAGGGACCGGTCAGCTGAGCGGCCTTGGATTTCACAATCCGGCCCCACCGAAACGTCCGCGCGCACCTTATCAAGACGGCATCTAAAACAGGAATGTTTATTGCACATTATGTCAGATCCACGCGGCGCACAGTGAATCGAGTCAATGGAGATGTTGCATGTGCGAGGGATTAGCGATTTGACCATTGATTCGTATGTAAAAGTTCGCGAGAAACACGATGGTGCCACTGGTTTCCTCTGATATCAACTCCCAAGCTCAAAAAAAGCTCTCAAGTTGAGGCCAAAATAGAGGGGATATCCCACGCTACCCTGAAAGTCCACCTCTACATCAAAACAAACTCTCCATGCAAAGATAGGGAGCAAATACATTGACAGGGCTGCCAGTTTATTTGGGGACTCCAAAACTGAAAACACGGCAACACTGCTAATCTATTTGCTCCCTATCTTTGCATGGAAAGTTTGTCTTGATGTAGAGGTGGACTCTCAGGGTAGAGTGGGATATCCCCGGCTATTTTGGTCTCAACTTGAGAGCTTTTTTTTGAGCTTGGGAGTTGATTTCAGAGAAAACCAGTGGCACCATCGTGTTTCTCACCAACTTTTACATCGGAATCAACAATCAAATCGCAAATTCCTCACACATGCAACATCTCCATTTATGTCCAACCTCTCTTATTGACTCGATCCATTGTGCGGCGGGCATCTTGTGTGAAGTGGGGCATAGTAAACCTCCGAGTCCAACGTCGATGTCACTCAGAAGAATCACTCGATGGATATTGACCTTCGTATTATCAAGGTATTTTGGTCTCACCGTAGGAGGAGGTGGGGGAGGGGGGTGCCTCATGTGGACCCCACTTTAAAGTGGTTCTAAAACGCGTATCTACGTGCGACGTTTCATACAACTCAGCTTTTAAGTATGAAAACGACACATGACTCATTTCCCTCCAAACTCTTATTCGAGTTTTATCTACTATTAATTTCTTCCACCAAACATGGCCGCAGGGCTGCCACGGAATTTGTAAAATGAAATTCCCTGACATTCCCCTGATTTCCCTGACACATTTTGGTAAAATTCCCTGACAGTTTCACTGCCGTGCTGAGGAAAAACGCCGTAGGTATGAGCCCTCAGGCGTTGCCAAATCTCCTTTGACAAATCATGAATTTTCAGGAAATTTGTGGATATCTTTCTTCCAATTTTACAGAGGATTTTCTTCGTAATTTGATCTAAAAAATTTGAAAATTACAAGGAAAAATATTCATGATTTTTTTCAAAATCAAATATTTTCTAAGTGGAAATTTGGCAACATTCGAATCTTTATACGGCGTTCTTCCTTAGCATGGCAGTTTAGGTATGCCAGATGATTGAAAATACTTAATTTGAAATAGTGTCCACGCAAAATCTGTTGCTCGAAACGTCAAACCCACTTTGGGAGGCAAATTTAACAATTTATCCTTGCCTTTTTCGTCATTTTCCTTGACATTTCCAGGTTTTCCTTGACATTTTCCAGCTTTCCCAGTATTCCCTGACAGGGGCAACACAGAATTATTGACCTCGCTGGATTTTTATTCTCTAGGTAAATGTGACCATCCATGGGGAAAGGATTCTGAGTCCGCATAAATATTCCGAATTGAAAAAATTGATAAGCGGAGCATCAAGCAGTATTAATCGAACATTTTGAGACCAGAACAAGGAAAAAAAAAACCAAAAAAAACACACACCAAAATGTCAAATTAAACCGGTATTGTGGCATTTTGAGTTCATACATTAGTACTCTATAATGACCACAACAAGACCACACCTTCTAAAGTGACTGTAACATACCTTTGGAAATTCAGATTTAAATTATACAGCATATGACACACAGTGATCGAGTTTTCTCTGCAACAAATCAATATATGTAAAGGTTAAACCGTCACCTTTCGGCCAAAGTATCACAAACGCCATTCGCGACGTTTAAAAATTTCCGCTGCCATTTTATTTTTTTACAGAGAAATTGTTCAATGAAGCCGTCCGAAAATTTCACTGTATTTTCTTTGAGCTGCCGATAAAATTCAGTGAAAATTTTATTTAATCAACAATTTCTCTGTAAAAAAATAAAATTGCGACGGAAATTTTGAGACGTCGCATGGCGCTTGTGTACTTTGGTCGGAAGGTGACGAAATGCAAAATCTCAAATGGAATTCAGGCTTTTTCGCTTTAAACAGTAGTACAACACTCCACGAAACGAAGGAGCGTC